GAAGAGAAAAAAAAAAAAAAGAAAAATAACCATTGGTTTAAATAATGAATGTGTAAAAATAACAAAAATATAAAACAAAATTCATCATTCGAATTAATTTTCTTCATTGTTTATCAAACCTGTTCAATTTATTGGTTGATAAATCCGGAAATGATAATATTGACAAATAATTCATAGTAGCTAATAGATAGTGGAACAGGATACTTTGTTCTTTTTTTTTGTTTTTTTTTGGTGACAAAACTGTCACCAATGATGTTGTGAACAATTTATTGTTTTTTTTTTTTTGTTTTTGCTTTTATAGTTATCCAAATAAATTATAATTCCAATATTTACAATAAAAATAATTGGTAGTTATGATAAAAGTAGCTGTAATAATCTATGATTCATTGAATTGATTGATCAAATTGATGATATCAGATCAGATAACTCTGTTTCATTTCATAATTTCCTTTCACCTTATCCTATTTATATCTTTGTTTGAAATTAATTTAAAATATTTGATACTGTCAACACAATTCATGTCAACTCACATTTCTTTTTTTTTTAATTTTAAAACATGTTAGCATAAATTTTAATTCTACATAAAATGCACTAGAAAGTTAGTGTTATTTAAAAGTTTGAAAGTAGAAATAGTACGATTAAATAAACTTTTAGGAAAGATTATTTTTAAATTTAAGAGAAAATACAAAGTGTATAGTTTAAAACTTAAAATTTATTTCAAATATCATTGAGTTACTTCATATCAGAAGTAATCCAATGATAACAACAAATAACTTGTTAACATGGCTAATAGCATAAGTTTGTTATTTCAAAATAAAACATTTGCTGGAAAATATTTCATTTAAAAAAAAAGAATGGAACAAATAAAATATTATTATTTTTAGGATGACAATTTAGGATGACAATTTTAGATTACGAAATAAAAAAAAAAAAGAAATTAATGAATACACGCTTTGAAAAGATTGAATTTTTTAATTTCCAGCAGCTATTAAGTTTCATTTCAATACTGGTTTTTATCATTTTTGTAGCAAATCAAAATGGGAAAACTAAATTAATCATGAAAAATTTCCATTTTCATGAAGAATTTCATTGTTTGGAGCCATTCATTCAATTTACGCAAGAAAAAAAAAAGAAAAGAAAAAGGAAAAAACTTTTACGCTTTTCTAATTTCAAATTTTGCTAACAGTATATTTGTTGTAAATTTTAAAAATGAACGAATAAAATTGTTAAAGAGTGAGAAATGGTTGAAAAGGGAGAATAAAAAAAAAAGGGAAAAAACAAACATGTTTCAAATTTCAAAAAAAGTTTCAAATTTGGAAAAGTTTCCAATAGTTTTTTTTTTTAAATGAAATTAATTGCTACTATTTGCTTCAATTTTTGCATCATAGCATAATTACTACAAATAAATATGTCACATTTTTATTGGTTTAATTAAAATGATAATAAGTTTATCCATTGAAATTTTCAATCAAACAATTCATTTTTTGTTATAAAAAAAACCCAGAAAATGTTAAATTTAAATGAATTATTAGCAAATAATATAATATGAAATAAGATTGTATTTAAGTGTTATTTGTGTGAATGGATGAAAATTAATTTGAGAATAAAAATAACCAAGCATTTACCGCATTATATTATAGGAAAGTGAAATTTTTTAATTTCAAAATTTTTTTCATCAAATTTTCACACCTTCTATTTGTTTTCCGAAATTTCATATTTTTCCTTTGATACATTGACTGATATTAGTGATTTCAGATTCAGAAAATGATCATTTCGCTTTTTGATTCAGAAAATGATCATCCCAATGAATAGCCAAATTGTCCACGGAAAATTATATTGACAATATCCTAAAATTAATTTAGTGCAAAAGATTAAGTGAAAAAAAAGAAAGCGACATAGAACAAAATTACGTTTAAATTAAATATAATAAATAATAATGGCATAAATAGTAGCAAAATTCAATTCTTGAAAAAAGAAATTGAATTGAATTGAAATTGATTGGAAATTATTTGAATAAATAATTATTTTACCTATCATTTATCTATTTATCTCTTTATCATTTCAACACTTTAAATATTAATCTAAAATGTTGGCAGTTTTGAAATGATAGCATGAAATTTCATCCAATCAATTTTATTATCTATATGATTAAAATTGGATATTTTAAAATTTTACACCAATAAAATTAATCAATCATTTTTATCATTTAAGCATTGCATATCTCTTATTGTTATCAGGTATGCTTTGTCAACATCATTTTGTGACACCTGGTTTTAGAAAAGAATATTCATGGTCACTCTAAATTAATCAGGAAATAAATAAATTCGCATAAAACTTGTTACGGACTAATTTACACTGCATAGAACATCATTAAAACTGATTAATTCAGGTCGCACAAAGGCAAATTTAAAATCATTTTTTATTTATTTTTTTTTTT